TGAAGGTTTGATGAAGCTGACCTTGGCTTGATCGGAACGCATATATACAGCAGCATAGGGCTTCAATGAAATGTTCTCATTTAAGTGCAGCAAATATTTGTGAATGACAGTTTACATCACTTTTGTAAGTTCAAAATACATGGTTTAAGTGGACAGTGGTTGTCACATGACATATGCGGATTTGTGATCACATACATGTATGGTCATGTGATAAGTTAATCATATGTCTTGTGCCTTCATTATAGGTCTGGTTGCATGTCCTTGTCTGCAGTAGTGCTTTAATAGTCATCTGACATATTAGTCATATCTTTTGTCAATAATGCACTGGTTAATTTGTCTTATCTTCCAGGGAATCTCTGCATCAAGTTTCATTGAAATCTGTGGTTCTTAAGATATTGTCGAAAAAGCTGAAAATTGATTTATTATTAATATTTTCAAGTCCATTCAGGCCTTTACATTGCCGTAAAGAATTTATGATACCAAGTTTGAAAAGTGATGATTAGGATTTGAGATATCGATGGAAAAGCTTAAAACTGAGTAATTAAATTATTATGCAAATTAGGTCATTAATATGAAAATATTTTAACTCAAAACTAATCACCTCTGTGTATTGTCTCAAAGCATCTAATATATATACTAAGTTCCATTGAAATGCAATGACTGGGTTCTCGATATGATGGTTAAAAAAATAAATACATGTATACACACATACAGACAGGGTAACTGCAAAGGGTAATCTGTAAAAGGGTAACCTTTGTGTGCTCTGCACAAGGAAGTCAAGAAATAAGTAAATTGACTAACCTTTATGTTTTGTTTTGTAAGATTTTGTAACTTGTCCGACTACGTGTACCATTTCATACATCGGTAATGGACTGGACTGATCACGTACCTGTTTCATCCGAATATAGAACGACACATTTCTACATTCTGTAAAACAACATATTTGTAATCAGTCACAGAAATCGGGTTGATGTTTCAGTCTAAGTTTTTAAATTCAACTGAAATTTGGTTTTTCCTGCATTTACCTGTTTTCTGGACGTGCGGAGGGTCAGATAAACTGTCTTTTGTTTCATCAATCTGTGACAACTGCATTCTAATGATTCCATGATCATCTGGATGAATAATTTTACACACAGGCTGTCCAATTATTTCATCCTTTTACAAAATATGAACAGAAAATATGTCAAATACGAATAAAATATTTGTAATAATGTCTGTTCTGTCCAGATATAAAAGATTTGTGTTTCTGGTCATCATGTTTTATGGTATAAATGTACATATCATAGCTTTTTTGGCAAAATGAACAAAAAAAAAAATTATGTTTTCATGAAAACACATTGTACAGTGGCCCATAAGTAGACATCGTGGTAAGGAAGTAACTCATCCATTTTGAAGGATCCCAATAAAATGGCAACATGCACCTGCAACACAATATGTATTGTCAGTTTCATTGAAAGTGGCTTACCATCTCAGTTGCTGACACATTCAAGTTTTAGTTTGATACCAAAATGACTGCCAGTCATGCAAATCAGAACACAATTACACATGTACAGAACCCAAATAAATAGTCACCATTTTGGACTTCAGATACTTACTGGTATATGACCTAAATTCTTCTCTATAACATTGGATACAAACATCAGTGTTCCTTTCCTGGACACTATAAAGAGGAATCCACCAAGTGACTACAACACAAGAAAAATATGATCTACCTGTAAATACTGTGTAGAGAAGTTAAAATAAGGTTGATACAAAACCCTGATTATGTAAAATACATGTGAGAAAATGGAAATTGTGTTTTCTTTATTATTTTAACTCAAAATTGTCATATTGATTAGGACGAATGAGGTCACATGAGTGTGAATACAACTCAATAATAACTTTTGGACATACACAAATCATACAAGACATTATGTTTCTACAAGAAACGCACAATGATCTCCAGAAATTTAATTTCTTGATGACTCCAAAAGATGATGTAATAATAAAAAAGATTGGCAACTACTGTATATTCATAATGCATTTCAATCAAGAAATGAAAATGACATTTGATATGTAACACTTGCTTTATCCCATTAACAATTTTCTTTCCTTTTATAGTTGTAATTATCACAACTAATCTTTATTGCCATTAACTGATAGAAACATTGTATTTCTAAAGATGCAATAAAGTTATTATTATTATTATTATTAATATTATTACACATTCCTCTTTTATATTTAAAATAGTAACAAATTTGTTTGGATCTTGACAATACAGAATTAATATGTGGGCCCCCTTGAAAACACATTGACCAAATTACCTACATGTACAAATTGCTCTCTGTTACAGAAATATATTTAAGGCAGAAATCTAACCACATTCAAAAGGTTACCCATTCTGAGTTGCCATAGTGATGTAATTTTAGAATGCCTGTGCATCTTGTTGATGTTCTGGTGTCCAACACACAAACATTAATCAACACTATGAGTGTTAGATTAATAACTGAAACAAACAAACAAACAAACAAACAATCACATTTACTGTTATACAACCAAGCCTATAAGTTATATAATAAATCCATTATGAACTGGACACAGCTTTTGTTGGCCTCGGTCTTACAACTAATGCATCCTCTAAATCCCAGGCACTGCCACCATACGACTTTGGCCGCAAAAGTCATATCTCGCCTATACAGAATAAAATGACAAAACTTGAAAATATTAAATGAAATGAAGAACAGTGACCTAGATTCTGAGGGACGATTTTA